ATATAATATATATAAGTACACAACGCATACACACAAATATACACAAAGTGCATGTGCATATATACATATAAACATGTGTACATATACACAATACATACATTTATACACATATTATATGTGTGTATCTATATCTATCTGTCTGTCTATCTATCTATCTATCTAATCTATCTATCTATCTATCTATCTATCTATCTATCTTTCTGTCTATCTATCTATCTCCCTATCCATCTATCCATCTGTCTATGTTTTTTTTTTACTCTTTCACCATTGATATCCTTTCCCAAACAAGAATGGAAGGTCTTGGAGGACAGAAACCACATTTTTATTTCTGTACCTGCTGCAAAACCTGACCTATAGCTGACTATGTAATAGAGACTTTAAAGTTTGCAAAGCATCTTAAATATGTAACTCTGGGCTCAAGTTCATCTTCATAAGACTCTCCTCATTGGTGGAGAATGACTATTCAATGCTCTGCACCTGTGTGAGAGGGAACATTGGTGAGAGCTTGGGAGAGGAGAGAGCTTGGTCATCTGGCTTCCAGCTTGTAAAGAAAAGATGCAGGTTTGAGATTTCCTTAAGGGGGAGCAACTAGAAAGGAAAGACTCTGGGAAGAAGCTGACATGCAGAGGAGCTAGCACTTTATCATGTCTTTATCCTCTCCTTACCACACTAGAGACTTTGGGGAATTTTCCCTTGGGTGAGATCTGGGTACTCTCCCAGCTGAATTGATATCTTGCTCCCAGTGGGAGAGTTCATTCACTTTGTGTATTGTGAGGCATATTCTTACTTGTTTCTAATTCTGTTTCTAATTCTGTTTCTGTTTGCCGTAAGCTTGGAGAATGGGTTTATTTGTTATTCTCTATGTGTAGTCTTTGTGTAACCAGCATTTGGTGGGAAAGTGAGTCAAGTTCTTAGATATATAAATTAGAGCATTCTTTCACCAGTAAAGGATATTGACCAGTAGTGTAACTTGCATGTAAAAATTATTCTGCCCAAACTAACAGTATTTATAAAGGTGGGCAACCCTTCTCTGAGAACAGAGTGGCCAGCATCATAGTACCAATCTCCTGCTCTCTTTCCTCTCAGCAGGAATCAAAGTCTTCCTTGGAGAAGGGTGGATGGAAAAGACTCTAGGCAAAGGTAGGAAACCTGTGGCCTCCAGGCCACATAAGGCCCTCTAGGTCCTCAAGTGCTGCCCTTTGATTGAATCCAGACTTCACAGAACAAATCCGTTTATTAAGAGGAGTTTGGATTTAGTCAAAGGGCCACACTTGAGGACCTATGGCCTGGAGGCTGCAGGTTCCCCACCCCTGTGTCTAGAGACATCTTTTCATACTATCCTGTGAACCACATCTAAAGAGCTCTATCTGGACCCACATATAATACATGGGTAACACACATACACTCCCTACACATACTTTGTCTTATTTGAGCCTCACAACAGTTGTCATTATCCTTATCTTACAGGTAAGGGGACTGAGGCTCAGAGACATTAAGCAACTTGCCCATGGTGCCACAGTTATTAGTATTAGAGGGAGGATACTTATTAAGAACATTCAACTTTATTGATTGGGTATCTTCTTAATTTTATTTTCTTCGTCTCTTTCCTCAGTCATAACCATAGAACAGGCATTCTTGACCTGGGGACTCCAATAGGTACATGGATAGATTTTAAAGGGTCTGTGATCTCAGATGGGAGAAATACATCTTTGGGAAACTATTTTTTTTTGTGAGGCAATTGGTGTTAAATAACTTACCTAGGGTCACACAGCTAGTGTCAAGGGTCTGAGGCTGGATTTGAACTCAGGTCCTCTTGACCCCAGGGTCAGTGCTCTATTCATTGCACCACCTAGCTGCCCCTGAGAAATATATCTTTAATCCACTATTCCACTAACCTCTAACTTAAATTTAGCATTTCCTTCAATTACAAATATAGGAAATGAAGCATTCTGAGAAATAGTCCATAGGCTTTACCAGGTTGCCAAAGAGTATTATAACACACAAAAAGGTTGTAAACCCCTGAAAGCACAACCATTTAGGAGAGACAATGCTGGATTTGGGTCTAGGAGGACCTGGGTTCAAATCCTGCACTGACACAGGCTATGTGACAAATCACATATCCCTAAGCCCCAATGTCCCCACTTGTAAAATGAATGAATAAAGCACTCTTTGAGTGCCTATCATGTGCAAAGCATTGTTCTAAGTGCAAATAGGAAAATAAGATAGTCCTTCTTCTCAAGGAGCTCCCATTTTAATGGAGGTGACAACACATATGGAAGTGTTCAGCTGCAAGTCAGAGGGAAAGGTCCTAGCATCCTTAGGGTGTAGCAGAAAAGCAGATGATCATACCTTTTGTTTAATGTCATTTCCCCTGATAAAATCCTAATAGTTTCCGATGTAGAACGATTTAATGATACTGAGGGCTTTGGTTACAAAAGCTTTCTTTTCTGGGTTTTCAATAAATGTGATTGTAGCACCTGCAGGAGCAGTTGCCAGGCTGAGTCTCTGCTGGGATTGCTTCCCAGGGTGATGGTTGCAGACCCTGGGCTGGAAGCATTGCTGTCCCTAAGCACTTGGGTTCAGGGTTCTGCACTGTTTCTGTCAGGGTCTGAGGGGAGATGGTGGTGGTGGTGGTGGTGGTGGTGGTGGCAGGTGGCGGTGGTGGTTTGACCTATTTGGTACATGCTGCCTCCTGTCTCTACCTTGGGGTGCCCTAATGCTTCAGTTAGGTTGGTTTGTCTGCCATGTAAGTGGCAGTTGGTTGGCAGTTGTTGGTTATGGCTAGCCCCTTCTCCACAGGAGCTGCCTCCCTTGTTGTTGGATTTGAGGGCTGGGCCAGAAGCAGGCCTAGTTGTTTGGCTAGGGTGGGGCAGGGGAATGCTATTGCTCCTTGGATTTTTGTATCTATCCACCCATTGGTGGCAGCTGGTCAGCAATTACTGCTTGTAGTAATGAGGAAGGTGGGCCCTTCTCCATGATGATTTCTCCCCTTGTTGATGGGTGCAAGGGCTGGTCTTGAGGTAGGTCTGTTGGTGTGAGGATTATACACACATACACACATATATGTATGTATGTATGTATGTATGTATATAAAATGTTATCATTTACTCCATAGGACTATTATAACCTCAAATGAGATAATATACATGCAAACTGCTTTGTAAGTTTTAAAGTATTATATAAATGTCAGTTATAGGTGGTGTTATTATCTACCTTTGACTGAAGAAATGAGTATAATTAGAAAATTCCCAGTGTGAGGGTAAAAGGAATATGGGGCAGAGATGGGAGCTGGATTTTCAGGAGTGGAGTAATTGATTCATGACATTTCTTTATTCAATTTATTTCAGAGTCCTTTCTTTAGGCTTGTAGGCAGGAATTAATAAACTAATCAGTAATTAGTAAGCTAAGAGACCTCCAGAAATACATAGGGAATCCAGTTAAAATTCATATGTACCTTCTACTGAGATCTGAAATATCTTACAGTTTGTAGGATGGTTGTCATTGATTGATTTATAGTTATGACTGATGGTGATCTCTCCAACAGCAGAGAACACATAAATGCTGCAGGACACTGGACTTCGTTTTTCTCTCCTCTGCTGATTCAATAGAAAATGGTCCTCATGTATCAAGGAGACTGTGAACGTTGAATGGCAGCTGCTAGTTAGAAAATGGTAGAGAAACGGTGGGAAACTATGAATTTCTCTGGCTATTGCATCTTCCTCCTAAGGAAGGTGTGTGTGTGTGTGTGTGTGTGTGTGTGTGTGAGAGAGAGAGAGAGAGAGAGAGAGAGAAGAGAGAGAGAGAGAGAGAGAGAGAGACAGAGAGAGAGACAGAGAGAGGGAGAGAGAGAGAGACAGAAGGAGAGAGAGGGAGAGAGAGAGAAAGGGAGAGAGAGAGAGAGAGAGAGAGAGAAGAGAGAAGAGAAGAGAGACAGAGGAGAGAGAGAAAAGGGAGAGAGAGAGAGAGAGAGAGAGAAGAGAAGAGAGAGAGAGACAGAGAGAGGGAGAGAGAGAGACAGAGGGAGAGCGAGCGAGCAGGTATGAGAGACAGAGAGACAGAGAGCAGGGAGTCTTCAAATGAGGCAGTGCCCCCCAAAATGTCATTGAGATGGCTGGAACCCTAGGGTCATTCAGTTTCTTCCCAACACTTCTTGCTTTGGCTTTATATGTGTGGTAAGAGACCATGGATTTGAATGAGCTGATATGAGTTTAGTTCTGCTGCTTAGAATTACAGGATCATAGATCTAGTTTAAACTTGGCATTTTACACAAAAAGAAGTTGAGGTTCGGAGAAGTAAAATGACTTATCCAAGGTCATAAAGATAAGTAAGTAGCAAAGATTTGACCATAGATCCTCCATCTCACTAGGTGTCATTTTCCTGCTGTATAAAAGGATCTATAATGCCCCTTTCAGTTAGAAAACCTATGAACCCAGATCTTCTAGCTTCCTTCCTTTCTCTCTCTCTCTCTCTCTCTCTCTCTCTCTCTCTCTCTCTCTCTCTCCTCCCTCTCCCTCTTCCCCTACCTCCAGCACTTACTAAGTGTCTAAATTATGTGCCACGTACTGTACTAAGCACTTTTTTTCTTACAACAACTCTGGGAGGTAGATACTATTATTATCCTCTTTTTACAGTCGAGGAAACGGAGGCAGACAGCGGTTAAGTGACTTGCCCAGGGTCACACAGCTAATCAGTGTCTTATCTCTGCCTTCCTAGAATCTCAGGGTCATCCCTTCTGGGAGGTGGATAAGCAAAGGTCTTACAAGGCGGGTGGGGGGAGAGAGGGGACCTCTCTGGTTTCTAAGCCATAGAGTTTTTCTTTAGCCGTCCTCAGTCACCTATGCCCAGAGCTCCTCTGTCGTCAGTCAGTGCGGGATGTTGAGGAGGGGATGCCCTTGCCCGAGCCGGCCGCCAGGGGGAGGCAGGAGGGGGCGCCTTTTGACAGCGGGAGGCCGGGGGAGCGGGAGAGGGAGGAGGGACAGGACGGAGGTAGCCGGGAGTGGGGATCAGAAATCGGGAGCCAGAGCACAGCGTGCCCGACCCCGCTGACCGAGCAGCCAGAGCCAGAGTGCGGACCCTCCGGGCCAGTGGGCACAGCCGGGGCCGGGGTGGGAGGCACAGTCCATGCGGCGGCGGGCAGCGCTTGCCAGGCTCCGGGAAGCACGAGGAGGTGAGGCGAGGCGAGGCACGGCAAGGCAGGGGAAGGCAAGTGAAGGCGAGCCGCTCCGGCCGCTCTCGGACATTGACCGCCAGGTGAGCTGCCCGCCCAGCCCGGACCACGCGCCTCCCGCCGCTGCCCTCTCCCTGTCCACGCGCAGTGGCCCCTCATGCTGGGGCGCTTCCCGCTCTGGGTCTCGGGGAGCACGAGTGTGTGTGTGTGTGTGTGTGTGTGTTGTGTGTGTGTGTGTGTGTGTGCGCGCGCGCGCTTGCACGAGGTACTGGCGAGTGGGTGTGTCACCTTGGGTGCCCTGGAGTTTGTGTCCCTGTAATCTTGCTTTGGGGCTTGGGGAACGCGTGCACCCTTGTGTTTCTGTGAGTGTGTCTATACCACTGTGGGTGTCCATTCTTTTATCTTTGCGTCCCGTGCCCGGGGTTCCTGGAGCTTGTCGGTGCCTTTGCTCTGCGCCTCCTCTCAGGGGCTTTAACTTTCAATCAAGTTCAATCAGGCTTGGCCAGTCTGGCGCAATTTGCTGTTCTTCAGTTCCCGGGCAAGGTCTCCTTACTCACTGGAGCCCTGGCCCGGAGAGGGGATGGGCCTCAAACCGCCGGGTGGAGGCTGGAGCAGACCCTGCCCACCCAGCCCTCGCTTCCCGCCCGCCCCACTCCAAAGGCGTCCCTGCGTGCAGGGGATGGGGCCGCCTGTTCTCCTGGCTTGGGGAGAGTTGTGCTGGATTTAGGTATAAACTAACCAAGCTCCACTCTAGGGCCTCCACAATATGAGGGGGCCTGCTAAAAAAAAAAAAATCCTGGCTTCCAAAAAGCCTCTGTTGCAAGTGTGTGTTAGTTTCAGCTAAGCTGTACAGTCAGCTTTCTATGATGTTCTGGATCTCTTTTCACCGTCTGTTCCAGCTCTGATGAGCTCTCCAAAGTTTGTTTCAAAATACCTGCCCTCCTTGTGCCCTGCTTTAGAATGGGCTTGGGACAGAGCTACTTTTGTCTTCAAACAACTTAACAGTTTATTTTTAAAATAAAAGTTTAGTTTCCTATAGAATTCTTCAGGTTTGGAACTCTCTGTGAGTGAAGCAATCGATTTGGGATTCTAGGAATGTGCTTTCGAATATGAACCTCAGTTGCCTCATCTGTAAAAGAAGGGGGTTGGACTAGATTTGTGAGATCTCTAATACCTGTAATTATTAGTGACTTGTTTTTCAACTTACTTGCATAAGGTGATGTAGGCATGTGGTCTTTGATTTAGGTGCTTTTTATTCTTACTGAACGGAGAGCAGAACAATCAAATATAGTGGTCTTCAGTATAGTAAGCCCACACATTCCTTTTGATAACATCTATTTAATTTCTCCGAACCTCTCTAAAACATCAACTCCCATTCTGCAATTAAGCAGAGAGAATTAGGCAGGAAAGTGGGAATCCTTCTGAATGGAGTGCTACAAAAGAGGCCTCTGCTATAAAGGGATTAGGGCTGGGGTTCTTAACCTTTTTTGTGTCAAGGACCCCTTTGGCAGTCTAGTGAATGGAATGCACTCCTTACCATTCTAGGAATGGAAATGCTAAATTTCAGTTAGGAGTTAGTGAAAATAAAAGTGTTCCAAGTTCACAGGCCCCCTGAAATCTATTCATGGTAAAGAAGCCCTGGAATAGGGATAAGGCTCAGCATGTGAGAGTCCATCTCCCTGCTCTGTGACTTTGCATAGGTTGTTTCAGATACCTGGAATGCCCTTCCTCCTTTGCTTCCAGCTCTTTGAACCCCTAGATCCTGTCAAGGATCACCTTAAATACCACCTCATTTAAGAGGTATTTCCTCCTGATTCCCTGTTAGTGTCTCTTCCACCTCTCCCATCACTATGCACTTATATTTGCATATATATTATGTATCTATGTATCTATACTATGTATCTATACTATGTGTAAAATACTATCTATAAAGTTACTGGATCTCTCAGTAGAATGAAGCTTCTCAAGAACAGGGATTGTCTCACCATTGTAATTGTGCTTTTGGCACAATTATGGACAATTAATTCTTGTGGATTGGTTGATTGATTGAAATAAGGCATCTTTTCTGCAGACAAATCAAGAATTTTGAATGTTTGTTATTGGCAAACCATGGGCGAAATGCCGCAGGGGATACAAAAAATGCAAATGACACAAAAGCCCCTGTTTCAAAAGACCCCGTAGAGTTGGGAAGTTACATACCAATGTGTATTCAAAACTTTAATTAATAATAAATAGAAGGCAGCATATTGATTGGACAATGATTTATTACTGCATGAGGTCCTGGGTTGATACACAAAGCTTAGATAAAAGATAGTCCTGCTCTCCTGGAGCTTACAGTTTAGTAGGGAGAATGAGACAAATGAAAATGACTTTAGTGTACAATGTTACATGGTAAAATCAGAATGATGCAAAACAAAGCAGAGTACCATATAAGGTCTGGGAGGAGAAGCTCATTGGAGGAAACAGGGACGCCTTTCTGGAGTTTGGGCTCCTGGCATTTGAGTTGACTTTAAAGAATGGCTGAGAATTCAGCAAGTGAAGGAGGGGAGGCAGTGAATAGATCTGGTGGGCTGGAGTGGAGGGTTCATATTGGGGAGAGGATGGGGAGAGGGTAAGGAGGTTGGAGAGGTAGTCTGTGGCCAGACTGAGAAGAGTCTTAAATGTCAGGTTTATGAGTTTATGCGGTAGCTGATGGGGAGTGAAAGTTTCTGAGCTGTGGATTAACTGGAACCAAATGAAGTTCAAGGAAAATTTATTTCTGGTTGGGTTGAATGGATTTGACTGGGGAGAGTCTAGAGATTGGGAAACAGGTTAGGAGGCTATTTCAATAATCTGGGCAAGGGAAAATAAGGGTATAGAATAAGATACTAGCAGGTAAAGTAAAAAAAGCAAGAGACCTTATACAAGGAAGAGTCAGCAGGACTTGGTATCTGACTTGTTCTGTCTCACCACTCCTCCATCTTCTACTTCCTTCTCTTCCCACCATACCTGACTGTGAGATTTTAACTTAGGGAGACGTCCTTTACAATTGCAGAGGATCACTTCATCCAGCCTCCTTATTTTATGTTGATGAGGAACTAGGCTCAGAGAGGTTAAGGGACATGCCTAGGGTCACATAGTAAATGGCAAAGACAGTATCTGAACAAAGGTCCTCTGACTCCAAGTTTAGTGTTATATGCTGCCATTCAGTTTTATGGACAGAGATAGGGAATTCAGGAATAAGAGCAGGTCATAACATAAAAATATGATTGTTTTGGTTAGCTTAGTCATGTTGGGTTTCAAGTGATGAGGAGATATCCAAGTGGAAATGTCTGAGGCATTCAAAGGTATGGTGGTGGAGCTTAGGATAGTGGGTGGCTGCTGGAGATAGTGAGTGATTTGTGATTCATTTGGACAGGGCTAATAGTTTCAAATGGGGATAGTTCAACTTTCCAAAAGCAAATAATGAGAGAAGACTGAAAGGGGACAGCTGACCTCTCCCAGATCTTTTCTCCTTTGCATCTGATCTTTCCTTGTTTTTTTTTCCCTTCTGTTCTCCTCTTGTTCTACTTTCTGTCCTTTTTCCATACTTTTGGATATATGCAGAAAGAAAGTTTTTGCTTTAAAATATTTAATGTCTTTGTGGTGAAAATACACCATTATTTTTTGCATCTTTTGCTCAGGGCTCAAAATGCCTTGGTCTGTTTCCTGGAGGAGAAGCAGTTTCTCTTTGGGTGCAGGATGTATGGACTCTAGACAAAATGGTCAAACAGGTTCTATTTGCTCCCCTCCTTTAGCTATGTCCCTTGTTCAGAACCTTGAATCCCTTTCTTGGTTCTATCTTTGATTCTCTTGTTTCTTCTTTCTTCATTCCCTCTGTTGGCAATCTCATCCACTCCCATGGCTTTAGCTACTACTTCTATGCAGGTGACCCCCAAATCTGTATCTCCTGCCCTAACTTCTCTTCTGAGCTTTAGCTCCTTCTCTCTACTTGAATATAGTACATTGCCATTTGGATTGGTGCTTTGACATATCAAAGACTGAGCTTTGCTCCCAAACTTGCTCCTCCTTTTGTCTTCAGGGTTTATGTCAGTGGTATCACCATTCATCCAACCTTTCATTTTCCTAACTTTCTGTTCCTTCTTCTTTCACCCTCTCTCAGCACTCATGTCTAATAATTACTAAGTCTTGCCACTTCCATCTCTGTACCATCTCTCACACCTGTCATTATTCTCACTAGTACCACCCCCCAGACTGTTGCAGTGGCCTTCCAAAAGTTCTTTTCACCTACACTCTCTCCTTACTTCAATCCATCAGTCACACTACTGCTAGAATAGTTTTCTTTATATATAGTTTTGGCCCTTCGGCTAAAAATTTGTCAGCAATTCCCTACTGTTTTTGTAGTAAATTCAAACTACTTTGCCTGGCATTCACAGTCCTTCATAATCTGGCACTGCTTTTTCTACCCAGACTTTTCATATAACTCCCCTTCATTCACCCTTAGAATTCCTGGGCCTTGCCATCCACCTTAGGAACTATGTGATTTGTCATCTACCCTGATCAAGGTCAGATGCTGTGTTTGATTGATGAAACCCAGATTATTCTCTGCCCTCTTGCATTCTTACCCATCCATTAAAATCCAACTCATATCATTTGCCTTCTGAAGTCTTTACTAATACTTTTTTTTTTTAAACATCCTTTCCACTTGGACTTTGGAAGTGTTGTCTGACCATTTTTAACTGAAAGCTTCATGGAGGAGATGATACTTGGGTTAGGGTTTAAGGGTTGTGAAGGAATTCCATAGTGAAGAGTGAGGAGGGGGAAGGTTGAAAGAAGGTATTCCAGCCATGAACAAAGGAAGCAGGAAATCGTAGCATATACAAATGGTCAGCAAGTAAGATGGTTTGGCTGGAGTACGACTTAGCTGGAGAAAAGTCATAATAATACTGAGGATCAAATGAGGAAATTTACGTAAATTGCATTGTAATTTATAAAGTGCCATACATGTGAATTTTCAAAGCATTTTTCTAATTCATTCCTTAATGGTAGTATAAGATCAAGCAAGTAAAGGAAAGTGGTCCTAGACTGTGGACTTCAAAACAAA